ATCCAAAGGACTTTAGGAACTCCTGAACTAACCATCATACATCCAACCTTGTCTAAAATAGTCATATTCATCCTCTCAACAACATCATTTTGGTGAGGGGTAAATGGAACAATTTTATGTCTGAGAATCCCATCATCTTTACAAAGTTTATCCAAGTTTTAAACTTTTCAAAAGTGTTTGATCTTTATTTCAAAAGATAAATCCAAAAGTTTTTTTGAAAAATCATCAATCAGTGATAAAAAAATATATATTTCCACCTTGAGTGGTAGTAGATGACGGGCCCCACAGGTTAGAATGAATATATTCAAGGATATATGCAATTTTATGCTTTCCAGTATATGAGTGGTAGTAGATGATGGGCCCCACAGCTCACAATGAATATATTCAAGGATAGATGCAGTTTTATGCCTTTCAGTATTAAAATAAATCATATGCTGCTTACCTAAGGTACAGTACTCGCAGAAAGGAATCTTAGAAATAATATCATTATCAAATGTACCCTTCTTTTTCAAAATGTGCATGCCTTTTTCACTAACATGTGCTAGTCTGTTATGCCATTTCAAGGTGGCATCATCTCAGCACTGGATGACTCAGCAGTGTGAATCAGAACAACACTGGCTCTATTAACAGATATACCATTTTTTTTAGTACATTTGAAAATAACTAAGGAACCCTTAATTATTTTCAAAGAACCATTTCCAATCCTACCTTGCAGGCCTATGTCATCTAGATTACCCATTGAAATTAAATTGTTATTCAAATCAGGGACATACCTCACGCTTCTAGAGTAAAGGTATATCCATTTTCAAATTTCAAAATCACACTAACAATTCCCTTAATTCTACAAGCATCATTGTTTCCCATAACCACCTCTCTATCATCAAGAACCTTATAGTCTTCCAACCAAGGTCTTCCAGAATCCATTCACTATTTTGATCACTGTTATCTGCATTATTTGCAGTATTAAAATCAGTAATGAATTCTGTCACAACATAAACATCTATGGTTCTATCATCTAAGGGTTCAACTACATTTCCCTCATCAACTTTCATCTCTCTCTATTCATTTTTTTTTCTTATAACAGTCTTTTATAAAGTGTCCAGTCTTTCAACCTCCATAAAACTTCCTATTTCCACTTGTAGACTTTGATTTAAACCTCACTTTTTCCTTGTTCTTAGAAGTATTATTCCCTTGATGACTCTGGCCATTTCCTTGCATAGAAATAGACCTCCCTCTAACAAATAAACTCTCAGATTCCATCTCTATCCTGTCAGCCTTAAGTTCTAATTTCTTACTTCTTAACGAATTTATCATTATTTTAGGAGTTATGGTATCTCTGCCATACTTAATAGTAGATTTAACATCCCTATATACCTCAGGTATAGCATTCAGAAGGATAACAACCTTATATTCTTCAAAAACTTTATATTCTGCATTAGTAATATCTTAAACTAACTTATTAAAAGTATCAAGATTATCATCTAAGTCAAACCTTATATTCGTTAGACACTTTCTCCCCATTATTTGTTATATCTTGATCTTTTTTATTAAAAGTATCAAGATTATCATCTAAGTCCTTCGACAGGTCAATCTTAAAGCTAAAGAATCTCTCTAGAAGGAAAAGTTTATTAAACAGAGACTTAACCAAGTACCGTTCTTCTAATTTGTCCCACAAAGCTTTAGCATTATCAAGTTTTCTTATTTTTCTCAACACTTGATCAGACAAATGAATAATAATAGAGGTATATGCAAATTCATTAGATTCAGTTCTTTGTTCAGCAGTCATAATAGCAGGAAAGTCACCAGTTATAGCCTTTGAAACATTATGTTGAACTAGCACCCCTTTCATTTTTCACTGCCAAATTATGAAATCCCCATTTCTATTAAAAACTTCAAGTTCAAACGTAGTAGTTGTCATTTGAAGTTTTTAATCAACAAATAAAAAAATGTTTGAGGTCAAAGTTTAACACAAAAGAAAAATAGATATTCCAAAACAATAAAATGTCACACAAATACTCAGCATCACACAAAAAACAGAAATGAAATATCACACAATTCAACAGACTAATAACTACCGAGAAGCACGAAAGCAACAATGATATTAAACAGACTAAAGGGGAGTTCCTCCAATTTCTGTGTGTTAGAATTCATCAGGATTCCATAAGGTTCATGACCCCAGGTCAAGACACAATTCGAAAAACACCAGAAATAAGAAGAAAGCAAGAAGGGGAAACATAGGGGGTAAACATAATATTAAAGATCAAATTAATAGGAGAGTTAGGGTTATATGATTTGAACCAATAGCTTCGGGGAACACCACAAAATACCGAGGAGTTCCACAGAATAATCAACAAGAAGCCCAAGATTTGAGTCCGTTCACCAAGAACCAACAAGTAACTGTTAGAAGACCAATGTCTCCTTAAGAAATTACCACCAGAAACTAAGATTCGTAAAAAATAGAATCTAGGCTTTCACCAAAAAATAAGATTTGAAAGGATTTGGTTGTGTTGATTTTCCACCCCCAAAACCACGATCGAAGAACCACATAACCACCCAAAAAGCTCTGATACCACTGATATAACCAAAACACAACGGAAGAAAAAACTCAAGAACACAATTAGTTTATCAATATCAATGGATTGATTATCATATTTAGGGCTCAGAACAACACATTGTACCCTTCTATACAAATGAAATAGCCACAAAGACTTAAACCCTAAAAATTGAACAATTGCAACTACTATAATGGAACCCAAGATCAAACATCTGATCTCAACACAAAATCCTGAATCGAAGAATCACGTAGACTTAAATCACACAGATTTAACAACAAAAACCAGAAGTTTTGATCAACACAAAGTAATCGAAAGAAGGAGTGGAAGAGACGACACAGAGAAAATCCCAGAAGCTTTACGCACAAGAACAAAATGAAAAAAAGTGAAAAAGGGCGATTGTTCAAGCCCCTTAAATACACAAATCAATCACCATAGATCTCAGCCAATGATCAACAGCTCATAGCTACACACGTGTCCATTAAATGGGTTGGGTTTTGGGCTTATTTCAAATGATTTATCAGGCAATAGCCAGAACCAATCTGACAATGAGCTAGGCTGAATTTTATCACAGCCCAGTGAACTAAATGCAATTAATATAATTGGCATCACAACTTATCAAAATCGATCGAAATTTTAGTAATCAAAATCAACAATTTATGACAGTGACTTATACTAGTCGATGTGGTGCATTTGCTTGATATACTTTTCGTGAATCGACCCATCTTTGAGAGTATAAAGGATCCAATGAAGAAACATTGAATATTCCATGATCTCACCAACCAACTAGCACGTCTAGTAAAACCCCCATAAAAGCTCTATAAAAGGTGGGAAGGACTCAAGTCGTCAAAGTACAAATGATCCAAACAAATACAATTTAGATGAAAAGAACAATGTTATTATCATTATAATGATGGAACATTGATGATGTAATAATTTATGTGAAATAATGGGATGACAGTTCAATCTCACTCTCTCTTATGAAAATTGAAATGTTATATCCCATTATTTCACCCAAGTTGCCACATCATCGATATTTCATTATTATAAAAATAAAATAGCATTACTCATATGAAAATGATTGAGCTCAAACAACTTCATAAAATCCTATCCTCTTAATTTTAAATTTAGCAAGTTAATTTTTTTTTTTACCAAAAAACGTGATTTAAATTTAAATCATTTCAACCGACATATTTATAAGTTGAAGTAAGGACTTGATAATGCTTGTGGTCACAAATCGTGCTTGGGGAAGTTTGAAAAAGGAAAGATCAAAGTGGGCGTGGCTTGAAGAACATAGGTGCACCACCTCTAGACTAATTTTCTTCTATGCAAGTTTGGACCAATTATCTTTGATGTTTTAATTTATTTATTTATTTATCACGTTGGTCACCCAACTTAAATTCAACATTAGTCCCAACGTTAAAATTTATTTCACATTGATAACTAAACTTAAATTCATTCCGCATTAGTCAACAAAGTAATAACATCTCGATTTTCATTGGTCATTGTATTAGTCTCCTTGCAACTCAGTAATTGACTACTCGATTAGTATCGAAAGAAGAAGTTTTCGAAGGAGTATACTCTCTAACATGGCAAAATATATAGTCATTTCACCCATCAAATTTAACATTCATTATAAAAATATGATTATTATAGTTGCATTAAACAAAATTAAAAGCTGGATGATTAATTTGAAACAAATTAAAGTAGAGTGATCATATTGGAACCCACTTATAAATTCAGCCACCAATTGATTTTGTTTCTCCAAATCCTGCTAACAATCTTCCTGTATAAACCGAACATAATGCACTTTTTTATTTTGATTCTGCCTTTTTTCCCTTTAATTTGAATAGAATTCTGTGATGTTTTCTTAGGAATATCGACTGATTTTCAAATTTATTATATGTAGATTTTCTTCTAGAAAATAATAATAATAAAAAAAGACAAAGAAATAGAATTGGTGACAAAACACAAAAAATTACTAAAATATTACCTCTCGTCGCAAGCCTCAATTATACTCAACAACACTTTCATAAGCCTATATTTGGCTCGTGTTTATAAACATTCAATTCGCACATTTTAAAGGTTCCGCGAATACCAGCATTAAACGACGAAAAGGAGATTACAAATCGTCCCTTCACAAGAAGGGAAACTTCATCTTATTTTTGTTGAACTACATTTCTTCGGAAAAAAAAATGAAAGAAAGAAAAGGGTAACGAATTTAAAACACTGAAATTTCTCCCTCCTGCATAAAAATGCACACACAAACACATGCAGTTCATCCAAATTTGTGTTTCTCAGAGCCCAGTCAAGATAAAATTTTGTTATTTGTATGTATATTGTACTTTAGATTCAAGAAATTCATTAGCAGATTACAAGAGAAATTAACACTATATTCTTCTTTTTCTAAAAATTCCTTACCGCATAGAGGTAGATAAAAATTATTCTTCAATCTTCACCGTGATCTCTTCTAGGTTTCTTGAATTTCAAGTCTTCAGATATCGCAGAAAATATCGACTCGACCTCGGCCATCGATACATCAAACTTGAGGCTTCTCGGCGGCGATGATGCTTTTCTCTTCAGTGATGGTTCTGACCGGATTTTCTTGGGAGCTGGTGGGCACTGTGTCATCACTGGGATTTTGTTGTCTAAAGATGTCGGAGTTTTGAACCCGTCATCGTCTTCAGCTACCTCGGATTCTCCTAAACGTAGAGTTTTCGGTACCTTTTCATCTTCCGGTTTTTTTCTTTCAATCCCTTCATCTTCTTCAATATTTTCCAACTGGGATTCTGAAAAATTATCATTTTTGATCTCTTTTTCATCTTCTTTGATGAGATTGTTCTTGTTCGACATCCTTAAATCGCCCAGTTTGTAAGAACATGAAGAGAACGCAAAAATACTCTTTTTCTCTTTCATTTTTGAGACATCCTTATTTTGTATGTTTGCCATTAGTAGATTTTGTATTCTGATCTCTACGCACTTTGATGCAGCCTATGCACGTGATTTGCCATATGGGACCATTTTTTATGTTGTCACCCTTGCATTTTCTCACGATATCTCCTCAACTAATTTCTCATATGCTTAATTTATGCCGGAAGTAACTAAATTATCGTTCAACTAAAAAAAAAGAAAAAAGAAATACATTCTGTCATTTTCAAGTTTTTTTTTTTTTTTTGACAAAATTATTTTGTGAGGTACAAATGCGTTAAATGAAAAATTGTTAAATTATGGTTAATGGAATTCATAAAAAGATTAATTTATTAATAAACCATATGACTTTAAAAAAAATTTTAATCCGATTTTAATCTCTACCGAACACACCTTATATAAGTCATATGATCGTTCTAATCCAGTCGTTTTCACTAAGAACGTATGAATCGATCGATTTTGTATACTGAATATGCACTTATAACCATAAGCCTTCTTCAAGGCAAGCTAGATACATTGAGCATTGCAGCAGCGTGCAGGTTAGCAAAGAAGCAGCTGACTTTGAGGATTGAATTATTGCCGTCTAGTTTATGGAATCTAGCTCATGTAATCAATCAAAAGCTGTTATTGGCAATTTGAGAAGAATTGTCTTAGTATAGGGAGGGATGTCTCATGTTTGGACTAACAAATTATTTCATGGGCAAACAGTTTGAGAAGAATTATCTTAGTATAGGGATTATCCCAAGAAAAATTCATCGGATTGAAGGAAGGCAGATCGAATTGTCCAAAAAAAAAATCGGTCGACTATGCTGGCAAATCCAAGACCAAAGATAACATGCCATGGTGGAGTGGAACCCTTTTTTAATCAAAAAAACACAAACAATTATACTACACAAACAGACTCAAAAACATGTTCAAAAATGGGAGACACGTGTTGATATATGATTGGACAGTTTGAAAAAAAAAACACACAAATAGGTACTGTCAAGTCAATCTGTCTATTTTTTTATCTTTGAGCATGTTCAAGTGACAATATTCCAACAAAAAATAAAAATGGCATAAAGGTCATTTCATAGCTTTTTTGGTCAATTTATTGTAATTAGTGTTGGAAATTAAAATAAGTTTCAACGTTTCAAAATTATAACTTTTTATTTTCAGTTTTATTTTATTTTCGTTTTCAATTTTCAAGATTTAATACAAAATTAAAAACCTCAATGTTAAAATGTAACTTATATTTGGATGGATTAATTGTGGGGTTGAACATCTGCATTATAAAAGTGAGATGAAATTTCATTGTTTGATGTAATATGAAAAATATAACTTGAGATACAACAAAAACACTCCTTTATATTTCATACTACATTCTTAGAGTTTTGGCAACTCGATAAAAATTCGTTCACTTATCTCCATGTGGTCGTGTCCATAAAAGGAGAACCGACTAGGAGTCATATGAATTTTATCTTGGAGTTGTGTGGTGTCGAAAGTAAACATGAACAAGCCATAATCAACATCGCAAAACAAAGTTACAATATCAAATGACCAAATTTGCATAGTTAGTTGTTTATTACTTCCTACTAATACAATAATAAAACAACGTTGGAGAAACTGTACAAATTGAACCTCAAATATTTAGCTTATAATCTTAGGACTTATTTGTAGTGTTTGTTTGGGGGAGATTATCTACGGTAAATTTTTTTTTTTGGAGAAGGTGTAGTTAAAAAGTAGGAAAAATATTATGGGTTCATGTATAAAATTATTTTATTGAAATGTGTTTGAAGTAAAATAAATTTCAAATAAATTTCGAGAAAGAATATTATGTACGTTACACTCGACGAGCATTGTCTCATCTTCTTCTTTCAAGTCCAATGTTTGAAATACACTAAAATAAATTTAGGCAACAATGAAAATTCCTCATTCTTTTGGGGGGGGGGGGGGGGGGGGGGGGG